CGGGGTTATTTTTTCGGCTCATGTGTAAAACTCTAGGACCCTAGCCTTGGTCAGGGTGAGCGTGAGGGTGATTTGGCACCGACCAGCTTCGCATATGCAGCGTCGCAGTCCAAGGTCATCCGGTCTGGCTGCGCCTGGATGGAATCTACTGCCTTGAGCTGCAGTGTTGGGATATCGGGGCTGCGTCTGCTTCCTTCGTGAGGGCTGGAGCAGCTTCGCTGAGTCCCAGCAGCGATATGCCCCGAGACCATGCCACGACAAGGAAGGCCATGAGGGCATCTAGGATTCAGAATGTTTTTTTTTTTTTTTTCGGGAGGTACAGAAACTTTTTTAGGGCTTGTGTTGCGTATGATCTTCGGTGCAGCAACTCTTGAAAAAGCCGATTTCTGTTGGGGGCAGCTGTAGCCGCGATGCACCGCGTAGCCTTCCCCTTCCAACCCTCGAATCAGTTTGACCGTCAGCGAAGTGATCTTGTTGACTCTCTCTCTTCCAGTGAAAGCAGCGCCCGTTTTTGTCCGTGAGCCACGCCGCACGGAAGTCTCCTGCACCTGGCAAGTGGCATGTCAAGACCCCCATGTCTGACAAGCCACCTTCGCAGCTGATGGTCGTTTTGCCTCTTGCGAAAGCGGCCTCGAGCTCACGAACACTGTCAGTACATTCAGACCCATCCAAAGCACAAGCTGTAGCACGCAGAGCATACTGTTGACTAACTTGCATGTGTCGAAACCGGGGTGAGAAACTTGGGGTGATAAGAGGTTGCATGCGGAAGCCGCATTGCTCATGGGCGATGACTTTGCAATCGGTGAGCAGCTGTATCCGTAAAGCATGTGTTACCACACTCGCTTCAGTTCGCAGAAGGAGTTCCAGCGCACGAGCTCCGAGGACCCGATCTCTTCGACTTTGGAGTCCTGAGGGAAGAAACGTTTGAAACAGGAGAGTGAAGCTTTCTTTCGGCCCTTTTGGGGGGCGCCTCCTGGCGGATGAAGGAGGCCCGTGTCCCGGCAGAGAGGCGGGCGCCAGGTAGCACGGCATAGGACTCAGCCCAGTCGCCTTCCCCAGCCAGGCGTCCCAGGTGGTTCAAGCTTCCCTCTCCCCAGCCACAGTCGGCATCGTACCAGTCGCCAACATATCTGGGCTTCCAAGCTTCCGCCGTCAGCAAGGCCAAGGGAAGGACCTCGAAGCAGAGCAAACACGCGTAGCAAAGGCTCGCCTCCTCGGATCGCATGATCCCACGCTGCATCACCACTCCCATCACCAAGGTCTGCAAGCACGTGATGCTCACCAAGGCCTAGTGGGAGGAAACTCGAGAGAGAGAGATTCATTCAATTCATTCTTCGTTTCAGGACCTGGCCTTGACCCCGAGGAACTTGAGCACCGGAGCGAAGCCCTGAAGCTGAAGGATCTCATGGAAGCCGTGCTCAATGGCTATCAGAGACAGGATCGCCTCAGAGCCACGGAGCCAAGAACTCTTCCCAGGACTTGCCAGTTAATTTGAGATTCTTTCATGAATATTGATGCTTCTTTTTTTTTGCTAATGCATAAACAAGACTCAATGGTGGAGGTCATGAACGCTGCGCCATCCATGTGAGGCAACAGCTGCAATGCCCATGGAAGTGTCTTGCTCAAGTTGATGTGGAAAGGTGCATCCGCAAAGAAGGTGATTGTGAGGGCGAAGAGAGATTTCACGGCACAGGTGTAGACGAAAATCTTCACCCCGATCCCTGTTGTCACCTCCAAAGGCCTAAAGAGGAACCTTTCCGGGTCCCGAAAGATCAAAAGCCTGCTCTGCACACTGCTCTGCTCGCTCTCCGGCAAAGAGCTCAAGCTACGCCGCAGCAGCGGGATCTCCTGACGGATCTGCCGCCGTACACGCATCAGACACAAACGCCCAAAGTTGTACAAAGCCCAGGCTTCGTACAAATCCGCCAACTCCAAATTCGTCCCATAGCGCTCCTGCCAGTATCAAAACACATTCACTCTTTAAACACAAGGCTTTCAAGTTTCAAGCAGTTTTAGGCCCGGCATCTGGCATCTCCTCAGTAAGGTGCCGGAGTTGTTCCCTGGAGACACCCTTGAACTCTCGGAAAACGCTTCCCGTCAGCAGCAAGAGCATCTGAATCACGCAGTCCAGAGCAAAGACACCATAAATCCTGCCAGAGCTCTGCAAAGCAGTCACTCTGTCTCTTCTCATCTCTTTTCGTCTCTATACACACTCTGAGGCGCGGGCAGCGGCATGGTGGCCACTTGCATGGCTAGGTCATGCGAGTGAGAAGGATACCAGCGCAGACTTTTGTCAAAGGTTCGTTCATTAGCAACGTGGTGGCGCCACAAGTGGCTTAATGTCACCAAAGAGGTTACAATCGTGACCAGCGGGCATGCAAGCGCCATCCATCGCAAGGGGCTCAAGATCGCTCTCTCTTCCAATCGCCGAGTCCCACAGCGGAAGCTTGATGGGTCCAGCCAGTTGCTTGCCTGTCCATACAACACAAGCTCAATCCAGCCAGATATCTGAAGACATGCCGCGAAGCGAAATCTAGAATCTAAATTCTGGCACCTTTATCTTCACACTTCAATGTCAGCGGTTGGCCTGCATCAAGTCCCAGACGCGTACTAGGGACTCGCACAGGAGAAAGACAAAGACGGAGTGGAAGAACACATACCTTTGTGGGTTGATTTCTGATTGCTTCGCATTTGCTTCGCCACATCAAACTGTTCCCCTGGTCTCAGCTCAGAGGCGGCTGGATCAACAGCGGCAACGGCGGCGGCAACCGAGAATGGATGAAGCGCTGCGCGGAACGCGTATTGCACAACCTTTCTGTCAGCGAGGTGAGGATTTTTTTATGTTTCCTACCCGTCAGCCCGTCGGCCTTCTGTGAACATGGTGGGCCGCGAAAACCAAGACCAGGCGAGCCCTCATAAGCGCTATCGGGCCATGGCCTGAAAGCTTGCCTAGCTAGACGCTGGAGATCCAAGCACTTTGAGCCTGTCTCCGAACCTTTCTCGTGACGCTCTGCAAGATTTTGCAAGTGAAGTGCAAAGTATCAAAGCATCCAAGCAGTCACAAGCAGTTGCGGCCTCAAGCCTCTTCTGCAAGAGGAGGTCACATTGACATACCTGTCGCGCCAAGTGGACATTTCAGGGATTGGCTTGGAGAATTTCTGGAAAAGATTCTTATGGCACTGAACCTTATCAATCTTGCAGCGAGCCGAAGCCCGATCTTGCTGCATAGCACACAACATGCAAGAACAACTGGAAACACCGTGTGAGATTGCATTGCATGCCTATTTTGTTCTCGCTTCGCAGGGGTCAATCTGCCAAGGCCCCCCACCTCGTTCCAGCCGACTCCCAAGGCCATGGGCTTTCCCCCTAATATTGAATGCCTCCCCCACCCCGCTTAGGTAAATACTACCGCCCGTATTTCATATTATTAGGGGTATGTATCCTACGACCCGAACACTGGGGGGGGGTAATCAACATCTGTTTAAAATCGTACTAATTTCGATTAAATCTAATAAGGGGTCGTTTTAGGAATGATTTCCAATCAGGGCCTTATTGGGGACTGTTTCAAATTAGGGCCTTATTAGGGACTATTTCAAATTCGAGCCTTCTCGGGGACTGTTTCAAATCAGGGCCTTATTAGTGACTATTTCAAATTAGGGCCTATTACCGATTATTTCATATTAAGGCCTACTAAGGACTGTTTCAAATTTGGGGCGTTTAAGGGACTATTCCATATTAGGGCCTCATTGAGGAGTATTCCAAATGAGGTCCTTCTTAGGGACCATTCCAAATTAGGGTGGACTAAGTTGAAAACAGCAAGACAAAG